TGACTTTACCAAACTTCATTCTATATTAGGCATAGCAATATGCTTATATTGCATCGGGATGCATCTGGTACTACAAACGTCGTTTAACGTTAAATATGGATGCCCCCTAATAGTTGTGGCAAAATTTGTATAAAACTTTGAGCGAAATTATCTCAGCACCCACCTAGCCAAATTCGATGAATTTTTTTTTTATTTTGATTCTACAGAATAGTCGAATCAAATAAAAAAAATTTATTGAATTTGGTTGGGCGACCATCTAGATATCTTTACTCAAATTCTTGAAAAAATTTAAATTCTATGGGATATGATGCATCAAGAACACTACCTAAATTTAGGGTATGATCTGCACTATAAACTTTTGCCTCAGTTTTAACTGTCCCTAACTACTCACGTGACACACACCGGCACTATGCATACCGATACGAGTCTAGATAAACTATCCATTCGAATTGTGCCCTACCTATCGCTATGCCTTTTATGCATACCGCTACGAGTCTAGATAAACTATGCCTTTTATGCATACCGATACGAGTCTAGAGTCATGAGTTTACTAACCCTCCACTTCACAAGTACTCCGATATGTGAATAATTAGTTCAACCAATCAGAAGTGGGGAGAAATTAGGAGACTGCGTTCTAGTTTAAATGCGCAGCTACAACGTATGGTCCTTATTGTTATAATTTAGTCATCAAAATAAAAGCTTTTGGATCTTCACAGTATCGGTATTGATACCTGATACGCAGGACAGCCCTTGGACAAAGTTTGGACATCTTGGATATTTTTAAATAAAATAACCTATTTCAACTTTCTAAGTAAGAATGTTTAGAATTAAAATATATAATCATGTTTCTTTAAAATAGATTTTTTAATTATCAAAGCTTAGATGAGCTTGGACACTTGGACGTTTGGACGTTGGACATGGCAAAAAAGGCTTTGGACATCAAAAATGTACATCTCTGCTGATACGTATCAAAGAGTTGCATAACGTACGTACGTACGTTCACGCATAACAAGCAAAGCAATTCAATATATTTTATGAATTTGCACAATCTTTAATTAAAAATATATTCGTGTATGTACTGTATTTTAAAATAAGGGTTACACGAGTTATTCCAATTTTTTCACAAAATTAGAAAGCTAAGAAAATGATTCTTATACGTAATTTCTGTACTATTATTAGGCTTTTTCAAAGAAATCCAAATTGATGTTAATGAATTCTTGGTATTGTCTTGGCTTCACGTAAACTTGGCTTAATGTTCATCTCTGATATGTACATACTGTTACACAAAGAGCGATATATAAAGACCTTGATTTTTTAACAACACCATCGCTATCAGTTTTCACTATTTGTAAATAAGTGTGCCCACCATGAATGCTATGCAATTAGCAAAAAAATTTCCACAACTTTCTCAGCAAGATGTCTTCGATCTCATTGCACGATTTAAGTACGTGCTCCAATTTTTTTTTTATTAAAAAGTTTTATAATGCTATTAATTAAATCTCGTGTTATGCCTTTATTTTAGCAAAATAGACCTAGACGGAAACGGTGCACTTGAACAAAAGGAAGTTGTAAAGGCTTTGCAAGATATGGGCGAAAGTAATTCTTATGATGAGATTCGTGCCACTCTCAAGGAAATAGACTTGAGTTCAACTGGCAAAGTTGAAATAGACGAATTTGTTGAGGTATTTCTCATAAAAGTCTTAATTTATTCAAGGTTATATGTACATTTACCACTTTATCCCCATTAGCTCGTAGCAAAGCTCAGAGAAGGTCGTAATAAATCTGCTTTTGCTGTAAATAAACATAAAATCACTGTACATGGCTCCAGTCAAAATGTTTCCCATACAATTAATGAAGATGAAAGGACTGAATTCACTAGGCATATCAATCAAGCATTGTCTGGCGATCCAGATGTCAAAGATAAGATCCCAATTAATACAAATACTATGCAACTTTTTGATGAGTGTAAAGGTAATATAAATTTAATGTATATAACATTATTGTCAATAATATTTAATCGATCAATAATTAATAATTAATAATGAATTGATATTATCTATGTGAAAAGATGGCCTTATCCTTGCAAAACTTATCAATGATTCTGTTCCTGATACAATTGATGAACGTGTACTCAATATTCCCGGAAAGGGCAAGAAAGTAAACAAGTTTCAGATGACCGAAAATAACAACCTGGTCATTTTTTCAGCTAAAGGAATTGGATGCAATGTTGTCAACATTGGATCTGCGGATCTAATTGAAGGTCGCGAACACTTGATTTTAGGGTTAATTTGGCAAATAATTAAGATTGGTCTATTGAATAAGATTGACATTAAACATCACCCCGAATTATATCGTCTTCTGGAAGATGATGAAACTCTTGATCAGTTTTTGAAATTACCTCCTGATCAAATTTTATTAAGATGGTTCAATTACCATTTAAAAGCTGCTAAATGGAATCGTCGGTAAGATTTTTTTTTTTAATGAAATAAGTTACGTTGAATTAATTAATTAATTCATTGCTTTCATTATCTATTAAACTTCGTTGTATTATGTAGAGTCGGAAACTTTAGTAAAGATATTAACGATGGCGAAAATTACACCGTACTTCTCAATCAACTTTCTCCCGAACTTTGTTCACGCGATCCATTAAGAGAGCCTGATCTCCTTGAACGCGCCGAGAAGGTAACAATTATCCTAATTATATTGCCACACATATATACATTAAATTTCAACACCTAGAAAAAATATAAAAAATATTTGTTCTCCATTAATATTCTTTTAATGACGACTTTAAATGCCCTCCAAATTAGGTTCTTCAAAATGCTGAAAAATTAGAATGCCGTAAATATTTGACACCAAAAGCTCTTGTTGGTGGTAATCCAAAGTTGAACTTGGCTTTCGTTGCTCATTTATTCAATACACATCCGTGTTTGGCTCCACTTGATGAAGAGGAAAAGGCTGAAGTTGAAGAATTCGATGATTCTGATGATAGAGAGTCAGGAGGTATTATAATACTGCATAATAATGTCTATCTTCAACAAAACTTGTATTTTAGCTGATTTCTCATTTTTAATTTATAGTTTTTACTTTGTGGTTGAATAGTTTGGACGTTACACCCGCTGTAAATAATTTATATGAGGACTTGAAGGTTCGTATATATAAATTTACGAATTAGGTTCTTTTTTATTTATAGGCAAATTATTTAATTTTTTATTTTATTTTTTTTTATTTTATTTTTTTATTTTAGGATGGTCTAATAATTCTTCAAGCTTTTGAAAAAATAAGACCGGGATCTGTAAATTGGAAAAAAGTAAACAAATCAGAAAATTTGTCTCGATTTAAACAAGTAGAAAACACAAATTATGCTATCTTAATAGGAAAGTCTTTACGGTTTACGCTTGTTAATATTCAGGGTGCTGATATTTGTGATGGTACAAAGACTTTGGTACTCGGTCTGGTCTGGCAAATGATGCGTATAAATATTATTCAGACATTGACAAGTTTATCAAAGGGTGGTCGTGAAATTACAGATGCTGATTTGGTACGGTGGGCAAACGAAACCGTAAAGCGTGGTGGAAAATCTACAAGGATGAGTAGTTTTAAAGATGCTACTCTAAGAAATGGTCTGTTTTTAATTGATTTATTGAATGGAATCAGGCCAGGCGTAGTGGATTATAATTTGGTAACGAAGGGTATATCTGGTAAGTTGACCATTGTATTCGCATTAATTATTATTGTTAAAATTTCTTACATTAAAATTTTTTTTTACTAGTGGATGATGCTACACTTAATGCAAGATATGCTATTTCCATTGCTCGAAAAATTGGTGCCACAATTTTCTTATTACCAGAGGATATTGTTGAAGTTCGACCTCGATTGGTATGTATAGAGTGATTTATACAACCTTTCCAAATTCATTAACTCATTTTTATTTTTTTTATAGGTTTTAACCTTCGTTGGAAGTCTGATGTCTTTGGACAATGCAGTTACTCAATAAAATCAAAAATTTTTTTTTATCATTTATCATTAGTTACTAAATTTTTTATTTATTGATAAAGCATTATAAAAAAAAAAACGCAATCAATTAGACTATAAAATAGTGTTATATACAGATATGGGGCATATTCTTTTATATAAAAAAGAATTAAAATTTGTTACTATGAATGGTCACCATTACTTATAGATAGTTTCTAATATTTACAATCCTCTATGTACTTTATTTTATTTGCTTAATAGTTACCAATCATATTGTCTTTTATGAAACATATAGAAACAGAATTTTAAATAATTATATACTATAACGTGATATTTAATAGTTATCCGGCAAACTCTTATGATCATGAATTGCCATCTGTCTTGTTATTTTTTTTCATGTGTTACGATGTAATCATGTTTATTCAAATTAAAACTCAGTCGATGACTCCCTACCAATCATGATCATAAATTGCCGGATAACAACAAATTTTGCCCAATATTGTATACATATTGACCAATCATGTCGATATCGTGATATGTATACAATCTTGAGAAAAATTTCCTGTTATTTATCGTATGTTCATTGGCGTTTTATACTGTATGACATGTGAAGTTTTTCCGCACAAATGATTACGTAATCTCGTGCCAAAAATATCATTATGACAAAAAAAGGGAACGCCTATTTTCACCATGGAAATTTGCTACATAAACATGACGAACATATTGTCATGAAAAATTAAGTCAAACGGTGGAAATAGTAAATTTTTCATGGTGAAAATAGGCGTTCCCCCCAAAAAAAATCACGTTATATAAAAAGTCGGATAAATTCACAATTATATATCATTACAAGATTGAGAATACTTATGCAAGGGATCTCCAATTCGAATTCAATAATTCAATTGGACTAATGGAATTTGGACTAAGTTCCCCAATTTGTCCAATTTCAAATTACCCAATTAAATTTAATTTTTATGCACGTGATATTTCTCGCAACGTTAAAAAAAATTAAAGTTAGCCAATAAAATTGCTCATATATGTGTGACTTTATTAACAGGTATCGGTATAGCAAGACAGCGTTAATGATAAGCCTGATTCAAAATGACTAGAAAATCCACCAATTATCCCAGTCTTTTGTTATTTTAGACCTAACGTTAAGGTAAATACAAGCTATCTGTCGATTTTGTATTGCCGCAACTGCCAATACACAAAAAATGTGTAAAAATCACCTTAAAGCTTGCACACATTTTACGTATTCAAAAACAAACTCCCGAACAAATAGAATGCTTATTTGCGTAAATTTTAAATTATATTTGTTATAAGGAGATCACTAGTGGTGAATTTTACCAGCCCAATCAGAATTGAAGATCAGGTGTAACATGCAAATCAATTTTGTGTAACACAAATAAAGAACTTGCTAATAACTCAAAATTTAATATATAAAACCAGCATTGGCTTTAATAAAAAAAATTTCTTGCAATATTATTAATAAAAATCAAAAACAATCTGTACTTACATATAATTTTTTTTGGCTTTATCTTAAATAAATATAAACATAATTTAAAAATAGTTTAGATTAAAACTGCACTAAAGACAAATGTAGTATATAGAATTTAGAGCACTAGTAAAAAATTAGATATACTTATAAGGATATGCTCTTAGATCTCAATTAAATATATAAAAGATGAAATTATGAAAATTGTATTATAATTATGTAATCTTGTTCTTCAGAGGTATGTATTTATTTGTATAAGTAATACAAATCCTAAAAAAGAAATTAGTCAATCAGAAAACAAAATATTATTATCTCAGATTTAGGGTTGGAGACACAGAAAATTTTTTAGATATGTCCAAAAAGGCATGGCATACCTTAGTCTGAGACATGCTTTTTATATTGTGCCTAGATTATGCTTCTATGTATAAATCATGTGATACATATATTATAAATAAATTAGTACCAAGTTTATGACACAAACTATCCCAGAATTATCAACAAAATTTTGCAGATATGTGATCTTAAACAAATCAGATTTTAGGATAGGTATAATGTTGCACAATCAAAAAATTCAAAACAAACATTTATTTTGTCAAACATTACCTATAACTCAAAATTCTGCATAGGTAATCACCTTCTGTGTATTAACAAAAAATTTTTTTTAGCTAATTTTACTATTAAAACCACTAAGCTCTAACTCTAAAACAGACCCTAACTCAAATCTAAATAAGCTTTAAAAAATTTTATCAGTAATCACATAACTGCAAAATTGTGTTAACAATCCTGAATAAGATTACAACACAAATCAGATCATGTGACTTTGCTCTACTGATCATTACATAATTATCAGTAGTACAAAGTTACATGATCTAACATGTATTAATAGCCAATCAGCATGTAATATACCACATGATTTAATATTAATTATTACATAATAGAGGTATACCTTTTGGCCTAAGAGTATGCCTTGTGCTCTGTGCCTCCAATCCTATTCAGATCAGCTCAACATATAAATGAATCAAAGAAAAATATGAAAAAAATAAAAAAAGCAAAAATACAAAAAACTCAGTAACAGAAATGAAATTTTATTTATAAAAGGTAAATGTTTATTTTTATAACATCTAACTTTAGCATTTTAAGCATAAAGGAGGTGTCATTTATCATCTGATTTTTTAGAGATGGGGGTCTGGCCTAAAGTCAGGTTACACAGTATATATTATATATATTTTTTTTTAATGTTAAGATAACTACTTTGGGGTCTGGCACGTTTTATTGAACTTTGATTCGAATGTTAGAGTAACCTACATGAGCTACCCCTGACTTTGTTATATTAACAAGGTTACAACTAGCTATATGTATAACTTTTAGTTGTTTATTTAAGCAGTTTTACATATGTAACCCATATGAACTGTACTAGCTACCATATCTATAACCCAACTAAGAGGATTATCTATTTAAATCCTCTGATCAACTTAGTGCTGTCGGATATTTTTCTCAAAGAAAACCCGCTGAAAAAGCCCCTTAGAACTTTAAAGTGAACACATACTACCATATAAGGGAGTTTTTTATCCTCGTAATAAACCTATTAGAGCTTTCCGTACTCACAAATCCGGCTGACCTAGACTTTCGGTAACTTACACTAAGTCTGAAAACAAGTACTTGCGAACCAAAGCCGCTATTGTTACCTACTACCATCCTTATAAAGTTCACACAAATCCCAGTACCTACTATATAGACTATCACTTGTACATCCCATCATCCTAAACTTCTAATCCAGATGGCCTGAAAGGGCTGTAACCTGCCTTTGATCCCCACAGTTGGGTCCTTTTTCTCCAGTTACTCTCCGGCGGCCAGGTTGATAGAGTGCTTTGCCAAATACTTCGGTCACGTTCGGTTTTCTGATTTCTTAGTTAATAATCCTTTACATAGTATCATCGAAGATCTGTACTACCTTTCTATTCGGGTCTTGCCAAGTAGGCTCTCATGTGCACTGACTTTGGATTTACACAGCCACTTCACTCGGGTTTTGTATAACTGTATATTATACTATTATTTCACAGCCTCCCAGTACAGGCTGATATGACCAGATTACAGATATCGATCTGTTTGTTTATACTCATAGTCTGCCATAACATGTTCTGGAATTCGAATTTTTCGCTGTTAGTAGGATTTGAACTCTGATCGCTGCCACTTGAGAGTGCAACAACTTCACCACTATACTAAGTCATCACACCTTTAGTATATATTATATATATTATATATAATATATAATTATTATTATATATAATTTTTAAAAATTAATAACTTTTGATCTACTGATCCGATTTAGATGATTTAACTACC